ATTCATTTCATTAGTCTAAAATAATAATAATAATAATAAAATGCAATTAATTTCGATTGCAGACATCGCTGTCTTGCAACGCATAGTGAGAGACGATGAACAACTCCTCTCCTTTGTCAATCCAGTGTCAATGTAAAAAAAAATAGGAAACCGTTGTTGCTCTGTGCAAGAAAATACAAAATGATGTTCGTTAGACATATTGTATGTTTGAAGTGTCGAAAGATGCATTCAATCACGTCGGCGTGAAAAATAGTTCACTGCAGCCGAGAAGCGTACCATTTACACTACATCACTTACATCCAGCCGAAATAAGAGTATAACTCGCATAGGTGAGAAGGAGTCTCCAAACTTTGCTTAGAGACGGTCAAGCCCCTATAGGGAAGGGCTCAGGTGTTCAGGTGCAGGCGACTAAACCGTGTCCGAAACTCTCGATACATTCAAGCCTCGGCGTAATGTGGACTACGTAGTGCTCATGTGTAGATACATCCGTGGCAACTGCTCTAAAGAGATGAAGGCTTTCTCAGCGTTCCCCTATTACTCCTACTGGAATCGCTTGTATGTCGCATGACACACCAGACTCGTGGGCGACTAGCAGACTTCTCCCCGGCACAAACATGAATCTCTCTTTCCATCCTTCTCTACCTGCAATCCTTCTTGACCGTCATCGTGCCTGCGCGTATAAGAGACGTCCCCGCTAAGTGGCTGGACATATGCAAAAAAAAAAAAAAAAAGAAGAAAGAAAGTTAACAAACGTCGCATGTTAACCAATGTTCGACGAAGTTTTGCGGCTCCGATAAATTATTGTTCGTCGTGATACTTGGACTCGTCAGTTTTAATTATATTTGTCCCTCACTCAAGCTATTGAGTCCCTGACAGCGTTAACTATCAAACTTGCATCACATTTTAAGCTTTCGTCGACATTCTAAACGAACTTGGACGTTGAAGCTTACAATGAGTCTCGGGCTCATAGAGGGGGGTATTCATTTTTATCTAAATCCGTACTTGATTACCAAAGTATAGGTCATGGGTAAAATTTTTTTGTTTTTTTTTTTTTTTTTTCCCATAAAAGAACATTATAAACAATGAATACTAAAAGCCTTATGTTTTTGTTTTTTTTGTTTGTTTTGGCTTTCTTTTGTTTTGGCTTCTTTCCCCGCCCTTTTCCTGAATAATGCAAAAATAGTTGAATTGATGGCATGCAAAACGTGTGTATGTTTTTTTTTTTAAAAGCAAAAATAGTTTTTGTTCATGTTCATGTTTTACAAAGAATTACTTTTAGTTAGTTTTAAAGGAAAGCAAGGGTCGCGCATGCCTCTCATATTGGCCACTAAAGTTATAAGTCGTAATTAAAAGCAGGTAAGAAATTCACAAACGCCTTATGTCGACTATTAAAGTAGTAACACACTTCTCAACAATTGTGAAAAATGTTGCTTTTTTTTTTTTTGTTTTTTTTTTGTTTTTTTTTTTTTTTTTGATGGCGTGAAAATAAGTAGTTGATTGAAATTAATTTCGCATATAACCTTGGTGATGGTCCTTATATCATAAAAACTTTGTTGGGTTATCTGCCACCACCCTTCCTCGGGCGGATTGTTTTATTATAACTGTATAAAAAGACAGAAAGTATTTTTTGTTTTTGTTTTTGTTTTTTTTTTTTGTTTTTCGAAAGCAAGAACAGCAGACATCGTTATATAAGGATGTTTGTGTGCCATATGTCAGTCACAATTATTGCAAACGATGACCTATCCTAATAGTAAACGAGAAACGGAAGAATGGACGGACGGATGAACAAAAGCAAGACTAAATAGCATTTTCTAATCTTATGTTTGTTAAAAATTTTTTATTGAAAGAACGGTCCCGATCTCTTTCCTCGACCTCTTCTATTTATCTTATCTTATCTCTAATGCGTGTTACCAATAACTAACTAAATAAATAAATTTGATACGAATTCGGACATATAAGATTCTTTTGGATCGCATCTTAAATATTTATAACAACAACAACAACAACAACAAAAATAAAAAAAACAAAACAAAACGACATATAAAATCGAATGCGACGGAAGACAATTTCAAAATAATTCTTTACAGTTTCCCTGGCAAATGTTTGCATGAAGTGAGAGCTCGTTTAAAATGAGTTTTCGAAATTTTTCTATTATGTGCAGAGACGCAGACTCAGGGTAACGATCACAATGAAAATTTGTTGAGCGAGGCTTCGAAGAAGTTGCCATCCCATCTTTATATGTTTTCCTGAAAAATGCTTGTACGAGTGCAAAGTCGTCGTTCTCCCGTTTTACCTCGGATTTACTTTAGTAGTATTCAAGTGCCATATATATATATACATATATATATATATATATGTTTTTGTTCTAATATATCGTTCTTCGGTTGTATATGCTAGTAAGTACTATGTGTATAAAATAGAAAAACTGTTTAATATATTGAATGACTGCTGACTGAGAGTGTAATGTAATGTAATTTAATTTGTTCGTAAAGCTATTTGTATGAAGTAATGCTGCAAAAGAAATAGTGTTTAAGTTTTCATTATTGTTTGAATGCACAATGATTTAAATCGAAGGACATTACCAATCGCTTATTGCACTTACTGTTACTGTCGTTATTATTATCTGATATTGTTATTATTATTCACATTAAGATCGTTATCTCTTGATAACACTTTCAAATTATTTTAAAAATTTTCATATGTCATCATAAGAAATTTAATGAATAGAAATATCATTGAAAATATTGCAGCTTTACGATAAACGGGTAGCGAATATTTTGTGCCCGAGCAATCATCTTTTGCAATCCAGTTAGCATGATTAAACGTGGACTTGGATTGATTGTGCAGTATATGGGCTGAGCAAGTTTGAAAAGATGTTAATTACATTTAACCATTCGGCAGAAAAGATCAACTGTGTACTATAAAAATATTAATTAAGACAACAAATGCATTGTTCTTGAATGCTTTCTTGTTTGTTTCTGGTCCCATTTGAAAAAGAAGAAGAAGAAGAAAATTAATTATAATGTTAGAGTCGAGCAAAACTTGACCACTAAATAAAATTCCTCATCTATCTACGCTTGATAAAATGTCGAAAATGATGTCTTGCCACTCATACAAAAACAGTTTATAAAACGTGAATCGGACTTATGATGTCATCAATTTCGCCCATTTTATATATATACTAACCTGCGTGCAAAAATTTCCAATGATGTGTCTATCATATCTTCACTTTTGCGATCAAGAGAATGTGAACAAGACACATCACGCAGGCGGACGGACATGGGTTTTGAAAAATTCAAAACTTTCTCGGACCCCCATCCCTCGGTAGTGGATATAAGAAAAACATTAACTTGAATAGATGATGAGGACGATGGACTTGTGGTAATATTTCAAAAAAGTGGACTTTATACCCAAAAACCGAGTAATGAGTTTTCAAAATGTCAATGCTGTTTGCGAATGTGCATTAACCCATATAGACGTGGAAAATTTCTCAGTTTTACTTTTCAAAGACTATCGCACCGAAAATAGTGTGAAAATTAAAATGACACATCTCTTGTTGGATGACCCGAATCTGTATACGGTATTAGTATATACAAAATACTTCAAAGCCTATATATATGTTAGAAGCTATAAATTTAATAAATTAATAATTAACTAACATGAACCTTTCCAATCACATGTTTACATGTTGTTTTGCCGCGACATATCTTAATTGCACATTTGTGAAATCTTGATAAGAGAAAATTTCAAATTAAATTAAATTAACGCTTCAGAAATCCTTAAGAACTTCAAAGATGATTGTATTCTTTTATCTTCATTGAATCACAAATAAAAGGAAGCATTTCGTCTGGATAAGACAAAGTCATATAGATCCCGCTTTTTAAAGTATACAAACTCAACTCTTTTTTTTTTACACGGTAGATATGTTCGTGCAAAAAAAAAAAACCTATAAAAATATACATGCGGTATTTGGTAAATTTTGGGAAATATGTTCCATAACTTTAAAAAATCATATAGAATGCAAAAAAATCTAAATATTTGCCAATTTTCAAAAAACCGCGCAAAAAAAGTTGTGTTAAAATCCATATTACCAAAAAAAAAAAAAATAGGTAAATAAACATAGAATTCCAATAAGTGTATAGGGAAAATTTAGTCCATAAGTAGCACATATAAAAGGCTAAATTGAAATTAAGTTTCGCAGCTATTCATCGCTACCTGATAACAAGCCTGTACGTTCATTACATAGTGGATCAAAACTATAGACAATCAGTAGAAATATCAAATATGTTTAGCACGACTGTCGGACTTGATTCAAATAAAGAACTTTGTTCGTTAGTAATAGAGATCAAGTTAATCAACCTTTTGTGGACATAAACCGATCCTCTTTTGATCGTGGTATTCCCCCAATTCTACTTTATGTATTGTATACATAAAATACTGTAAGATACTGGGGAAATTAGTACAAAAAATTCGTGTAAAAAGAGTTGTATTTGTTCGTATTAGAGAATCGTCTTATTTCAAAATCGGGTAAAAAAAGTGTTGAATGTATAAGCTTGTACTTAATAATTAATCTCTACCCTAATATATTAATATATATATTTATATATATGTGTTACGTGAAACACAAGGATAAGAATTCAATCAAGTCGAGATTCAACTTTTTAAATACAGATACTATTCATTCAAGTCGAGATTCAACTTTTTAAATACAGTTACTATTTATTCATTTATTTCGAAAAATGTAATTAAATTCAAATTTAACTTTTAACTTTTTTTCTTTCAGGGATTAATGGATTACTTAAAATAAGAATAAAATAACAAAGTTTATCTTATAATAATAATAATAATAATAATAATAATAACAAAAAAAAAAAAAAAACCTGAAACATATACTTAAAAAAAAAAAAAAAAAAAAAAAAGAAAACCAAAAAAAAAAAAAAAAAACGCGAATCCATAAACAAGCAAGAATTTCTACATGTCTCTGAGAATTGTATGAAAAGATGAAAAAGTTTACATTCAAAGGAGTTTTGGATGGATTTCGACAAACAGTACAACCACAAGCTATACGACAAGAGCATGAGATTCAAGAAACGCTTAAAGCAGAAAATTTTGCCGTAAGAAAGGTAAAAGAAAAGAAAAGAAAAGAAAAAAAAAAAAAAAAAAACATGTATATATATATATATATATGTATATATATAAATTAATGTAAATAAAAAGAAGTGCGAATATAAGAATAATGAAGAAGATAAGACACAATATTCAAGAGATTTATCATAGCCAGCGTATGTTTTATTTGGTAGTTAAGGTACATATTAATATCCTATCATAAGACACACGCGGCTATGGTCGATTTCCACATTTAACGAAACAACCAAATCATACCATTCAGGCGTACATAGGTTGGTTGTCGAAATTTTATGGAAACGAAGAATTATGACCGTGAACAGGGGTGATGGGTGGTGGAGGGAGCGTGGGATGGGAGAGGCGGGGCGGGCGGGGGGAGGGAGGGATTATGTGCTACTCAATAAAATGTTTTATTTTGATAACACTATACCTACAACAACAACAATAACAACAACAACAACATATGGAATAATGTTTACATTTCCGTTTTAATCCAGACATTTCGCCATGGATTCCCTTACTCGCCTACCGCATTTGCGTTCGATCCTGTACAGAAACTGTTGGCTATTGGCGACAAAGCAGGCAATTTGCGAATGTATGTAAAAATTTCATCTCGATTAGTGCACTAATTTAGGTTAATTGTGTTTACTGTTATTGGAATTGATTTTTTTTTTTTTTTTTAATTAGACTTGGAAGGCCTGGTGTTGATGCATATGTAAAACATGAAGGCGAATCGGCATGTGCTGTAATTTTGGCTGAATTTATTGTCAATGATGGCGCTCTGGTGACCGTAACGGCAGACGATACCTTACATTTGTGGAGTATACGTCAGAAAGTGCCCGTTGTTGTACAAAGTTTAAAATTTCAACGTGAACGGTAAGCAAAAAAACAAAAAAAAAAAAAAAAAAAAAAAAAAAGGAAAATAAAGTCGCATAATTTCGTCACTCATACATAGATATAGGATTCATTCACATATAAAAACCAATCTTTGTCCGTTTATATCATTAAATGTTTCGTTTTCTTTTCTTTTATGTTTCTCTTAATTAAACTTTGCTCGCTTTGTTTTGTTTGCAACATTAGGGTGACGTGCATACATCTACCTGTGCAGAGCAAATGGTTGTATGTTGGCACGGAAAAGGGCAACATTCACGTCGTCAATATCGATACTTTCGCTCTTAGCGGCTACGTTATTAACTGGAATAAAGCAATTGAAGTGTAAGTATTACGACGAGTGACATTTCTCTTCCATTTCCCATTTATGCATTTATTCATTTTCATTTTTATTTTCATTTTTATTTTCATTTTTATTTTTTCATTTAGCTTTTGGTCGAGGTCAAAGTCTGCCGCGTTTTTTTTTTTTTTTTTGTTTTGTTTTTTTTTATATTTTGAAAGCAATTTCACTTGTTCCTTATAGATGCGATAGAATTCAATTTTAATTATAGTTGACATATAAATTATTTATCAACAGAGTTTACTGCAATTATTAAGATTAATATAATTTTAGTGAACAAACAAACAAACAAACAAACAAAAACACACACACACACACACACACACACACACACACACACACACACAACACATACAGTAACACAAAGTGCCTAAATGTAGTTGAAATAATGTTAATTTTTTGTGCAAAGCTTTTTTTATGCAATTTTTGTTGTTTTGATCATTGGTAGGCGATAAGTTTAAGGTTTCGATATTGGATAGTTAACAGAGATTTTGATTTTTCCAAGAAACGGGATTGAGTGTATAGCCCTTGCGATACCCAATTGAATTCAATTCCCGTCCCAAGAAATCATAAATGTCATTGTAATTTACTTGCGGGACCGGTCTTGACTGCATTACGCATTTTATACGCTTTCCTATCTCTTGGTCTTACTATGCCAAAGAAGATTTGTTCGCTTCAAGAGTTCAAAGAACAAAAAAAAAAAAAAAAAAAAAAAAATTTCATGAGACACCGACATCAAACATACCTGGGCCGTAGGGTCAATACCTAAAATAAATTAAAGCTGAGAAAGTAGTATGTTTGGATAATAATAACTATATTTTCGGTGACTTTTCATTTTTTTTTTTTCAATTTTTTTAAATCAAACGTTCATTAAAAGAAAATTTTACAAGATATGTTAATTGATTATCGATCGGACGTCTTATTAATAATTTGTTGTTTGTGATGTTTAATCGAGCGTTGTCATGTTGAAATAGCCTTTTAGCAGATGGCTTTGGCCGTTTTGCTTTAATAATCGGCTAAGTTGCCCTACTATAGGGCAGCCAATGGAGCTCTGAAATAAATAACAGTTTCGATGGATACGCACAACTAACTCAGTTAATCTAATCAACAATAAACAACATGAATATTTCGTTTCAGTGATAGGTTTGCTGTACCATATATAACTTTTTACCCTTTGCATTATTATAGTGTAAATAAGTTTTATCACTCGTTATGATTTTTCCAGGGCATACATAAATTTCAAAGACGCTAAACAGCGTAAGCAATAGTTGTTGTCTCTGTGTAAAGGCTAGACTTGTTAGTTTCATATGAAAGTAAGATCAGACTTTTATATAGCTATATATCAATCATATCAATCAAACATAATCTCCTTCAAAAATACTACAATCAGTTGAACGCATCTCTAGCATTTTGGATGCTTTTTCTTTTAGAGCGATTTGTCAAGACATTTAATATACCGATCCCGATTTCTGTTATGATCTCATGGTTTTTTCTAAATCTTTCTCTCTGCGGCATAGTTTTAAGATTTGTTAGCACATATTAGTTAATTTCAGCCAGTGCTAGAGATTAAAGCGGATGTGGCCAGGAAAACTAACTTCAATTCATGCAATTTCTCCATTGGCGTTATTGCCTTTTGATTCCGCTGCGAGCAAGTACGCTATGGATTTGTACAACCATTTTCTTACGGTTAAATTTTCATTCAAAGTCATGACTACGATGCCTATCGATATCTTTAGGATGTCACCTGTCTCTCTCTCGCACTCTATCTCTCTCTCTCCATCTCGCTTTCTCTGTTTGTCGCACTCTCTCTCGCCCTCTTTCTTTTTATTCCTTATCTCTTACTCTTTCTCTTCCACCTGCACCTTTCGATTATCGTAAGTAATTTTTTCGCCATCAGAAAGTAATGTTCAATCATCACGCGAATTTCGTAGCTTTTCGCTGCTTTGAAAATATTATTCTTATTATTAAATGAAACCGAAAAAAAGGTAGCATCACTAAAAATAACTGTAACTTATGCAAAAGCGATCAAGATAATATGAAAATTTAAAAGGCTTTGTTTAAGACCCTTAACCCTTTTTGAAAATAATAAGGATTTTATGTTAGAGACAATCTCTGTTCTTACTACTACTTGACCGATATGCTAGAATAACTTATTTATATATATTCAATAAATATAATTTACGCAGGTAACGAAAGACATGTAGAATTTCTCATTTATTAGAGGATGAAAAACATTGTTCGAAATAATGTGAAATAAGTTGGAAAATATATCATGACATACTATATAAATAACATCAAGGCTGAAGCACTATTAATTTAAAGTCACCGCAATGCGTTTCTGAAATAAATAAAATAAAAAAAAACAAACTTACGATTGCTTTAAGTGCCTAAGATTAGATATTACACTTAGTTTCGTTTCGTTTCATTTCGTTTCGTTTCGTTTCGTTTCGCTTATTTATTCATTATAATGGCGAAACGTCGGACTGCATTTATTTATTTATTTAGTTTATTTAGTTAATATAATCATTATATCTCTTGTTCTCCATACATACGAAGGTGAAAGTCATCTTAACTCAATATATATAATATAAGTGAGGTTATTGAGAAAGACGTTCGTTTGTTTGTTTGTTTGCTTGTTTGAAAAGCCTGCACTTACGAGTCATTTTGTATTTTATATTATTATTATATTATTATTATTAAAGCTAATAACTAATTCTTTTTATTTCTTTTCATTTTTTTTCTTTTCGTTTTTTTCTTTTCTTTTCGATTTTGTTTTTTAAATAATTGAAACAGGGTTAGAGCTACTCATCCTGGTGCTGTGATTGCATTATGTGATAATCCGTTAGATGCGAATAAGGTATTCATTAATTATGTATATGAAATGAAAGAAAAAAATAATTATTGTTTTAAGATCGATTAATGATATATTGTGTCCATCGTTTATTTGGTTATCTATTTGTTACAGTTACTAATGGGATATGAAAGTGGTTTGCTGGTGTTATGGGATTTAAAGGGTAAATTTGCGGAAATACGATGGCAGGCCGCTGAACCGGTTAAGTCGATAGCTTGGCATTATGAGGGCAAATATTTTGTATCCTCGCATACTGACGGCACCATTTGTTCGTGGCCTACACGACCCACACCCAAGCCACAATCACTTGTTTGTCCACATGGTAAGTAGTTTATAAATTTTATTCTCTTATTCTTGCTTTTCCTTTCCTTTATCTAACTTTGATTGCGTGACATTGTCTTTAAATCACACTTGCAACCAATGTATGCTCGCACACATCTATCTATCTATCCATGTTCATATCCATGTAGCATGTAAAGCGTATTCATAAAAATGAATAAATTTTTACTTTCAGCCAAGACAAACAAAGATGGTGCATTGGAGAAATGCAAAGCCATTTATAAAGTCGATTTAAAAGCTACCGTAACTGGGTATGTATGCCACGAACACCATATAAACGCCAGCATTTAAGCTTGCGTTCACGTAGAATGCGATTTTAGTTCAAAAAATAAAAAAAAAATAATAAAAATAAAAACAATTTTTTTTTTTTTTTTTTTTTTTTTTTTATAATTGCGCACAAGCCATTCACACCTCGGTAGACAAGAAACATTGTTTTGGGTAAACGATTAATTTGTTTTTAACATTATCCCATGACCCAAGATTAGGGAGGGAATTTTTATTCAGTTTATATTGAAGAAAGTTCTTACATATCTATCTAAACACGATTTTATTTATGAGGCTAAGCAGTAACACGAATAGCGGACGGTCATCGGTACATCGAAAGTATATAACAAACGGCACAAACCTATGCATAATGATCATTAACATCGGATCAGATAGAAGATTTAGAACTAATAGCAACTTAGATACGATGGACTTTATATTATAGTGTGATGCGTACAATTAAT